TCTTCCGCAATGGGATGGAATGTTAGACATGTTCTTCAAGAACCCATTGGCACAAAACTCTACGTGATACTTCTTCACCTCCTTAGGGTTACACGGCTTGCATTGACAAATTTGAGAAATGGAGGATCACAGCTTTTTCTGTTGCTGAAGCAGCGCAGATATTCCCTCGACTCCTAACATTGGTCGATGGTAATATCTGCACTGTAAATCCAGCCCAATAAGCTTGACACCTTTGCCCAAGGTCATTCCTCAGTGCGGCAAGTAAGACCAGCCCCATTTAATTCTTACGTGGCAAAACATCCTGCGTCTGGATTATTTCCACATGCCCATGTGACTACCATGGCCCAGAGCACTAGACATCTGGGATGCTGTAAAAAAGCTCACCTTAGCGCTCTCATCGACAGCATCTTTTCCATCAGCTTCAGCTGGCCACTAGCTGAAACTTTATCGCTACCATCGTAGATCCAGGCCTAAAAAAGTGTAAATTACCGACCAAAGTTAAGATATGGCATTGCAAACCTATTTATAGGAATAATAGGATCCATTGATTAGTGCAATGTTGACGAATGCCCTAGAGTACACTGGCACCTTGTGAGTTAATAAGCTACATTACGCTGAATAGGCCAAAACGATTATTAGTTTGTTGCCAATATCACTGCTGGGTTACATTACAAACAAGACTCCTTGAAATCGGTTTGTTGAATGATGTATCAACGTAATCATTACGTGCCATAAATGCCATCCAGGATCAGAGCGATGACGCTAACATTCGTATATTTTGGACGCCAGCATGAAACGGAGGGTCGTCAGCGGGTTGTAACCACGGCCCATGCGACTGAAACATGGAAAATAGACTAAAACACCACGTACTAATCACGACGCACGTGGACAGCCCTGAACAAAAAAGTTCCTTATTCACCGAGCGTCACGTGTTACGAAATCACTGGATGGATAGGCATTGCGTACGCCGAGCATGGTTGCGGAAAATGTCCGGTGCACTATAAATCTGTATATCACACCCACTTCGCCGGGCAGGCGGTGTTGAAACTGTAAACAACTGATTTTTGATTGGGATTTCAATTAGGCACATTTCTTAGAACCAGCCAGTGCTATTGGGCAAAACTTAATATGGCGTTTGGCTATAAGGTAAGTGTAACTTATTAACTAGCAAAGGTGCCAGTTACTCTAACATTCTTGTCAACATTGGCATAATCAATGGACCTGATTATTCCTCTTAAACGTATGAGAACATGATGTTTCACCACGACGTGAATCAACATGCCAGGAATGTCAGAAGCGATGGTTCAGTTGCATTGATTGAAGGGGACTACTGAGGCTATATGCAAATAAATACATAACTGACCGGCTTCTTTTTCTGCGATTGCCTTCTCTCATCTCCTGGATTTCTTTTGTTTAGGCACTGGGCCACTGTCAAAGAGTTGTTGTATACACTTTCGATGAACCATTGCTATAGAGTTCTTTAAAGTGTTCTCCCATATATACTCTTCGTTTCTATAATGTACGTCGATTGTTGCTCAATTAAAACTGACTTCTTCTCACTCACTCATTTGTGTCCTTTTTGTGGTGAGCTACAGTGTCATTGACACTTTCATTTATTCAAGAGTACATAATAGAGTCATATCTCTATTATGTACTCTTGAATTATTATATCTTATCTTATTGCTATAGAATCCACGTCCTCATCCTAGTCATGAATTTTATGGTTTCGTAATGTCAGTACATTTGCATACTTATGCATGTTTTGAATTACATTGCAGGGCCACCTGGTGTGGGCAGGAATGAGTTAAAGCACCGTCTGATAGCCAGCAATCCAGATCATTTTAAAACACCTATTCCACGTGAGTGAATTCACATTATAGTGAATGGGTCTACTTGTCAGTTAGGTTTCTCTTACTGCAGCAGTTCAAACGCTGCCTGTTGGGTGTGACTAACTGTGCATAATTATTATTCTAAGAGTTTAAGGAATTATTTGCCAGTGCCATTATTTTCCTTGCGTGGGTAGATCAGCAAATCTTTCTTCATTGCCCCCGTTACAAAGGTGTATATTTTTGAACCCCCCCCCCTAAAAAGCTCTCTGGGCTGTGTTGTTTTATTGACACAAAACATTACAGAAGAGTTTCTGTTTGTGCAGAAAACCTGCCTCGTGTTTTTCCCATGCTCCGTCAGAGAGTTGGTGCATGGCTCACACTCGCTCCTCATACTCATCAAAGCATTCCAAGAATGTGCTCATCATTAGCGACTATCTGAATTTACAAATCGAAATGTTTTCTGCATAGCTATACAGAAAGATTCCAACACCATATTTCTTTTATTGATCTAACATGCAGCATTAGTGCATGTATTTACGTCATGACATCTAGACATAGTGTATGCACAAATGGAACCAATTTGGAATCTCGAGTCTCTCGAACGCAGACGCATGCTGGCTGAAAAAGTGTTATCTAAATATATTTATGTGCAAGTAAAGCTCATTATTCTTATCTCGAATCTGAAGCCTTTCCCATGCAGACACATCATGGCTAAACATCCCTCATCTAGATATACTCCTGCGCAAATAGTACCCTGTACAGACTGCAAAATTCGATCCCACATTAAACTAGTCCGGGCGCATCAAATTGTAGCGTACAGACACAAAATTTGATCTCACATAAAATGAGTCACGGGTTGACTGTGCATGCTCAGTTCAGCTCGCTACATCACCCCGCAGACAGCTACTGTAGGGGATGCGAATTGCGAAATCTTGTGCGTGCTAGGCACCGGTTTGCGTACAGACACAGCTTAGAGCGGGATAACTTGGTCCAGGCCAAGTTATCCCGGGCTTGGCCGTCCTTCATTTGCGGGGCCAAATTGGTGCGGGCCAGCACGTATTTGAAGCGGGATAGCTTGTACACACTGCAAAAATTTGACGTGCACCTGGCCCACACCAGTTCGATGTAGGATTAAATTTGCAGTCTGTATGGGGTATAAAACTCATTTGAATCTCGAATCTCTCGCACACAGACACGTCGCGGCCGAAGAAGCCGACGGAGGTCGAGGGCAAGGAGTACGTGTACGTGTCACGCGTCGACATGGAGGCCGACATACAGCTGGGCAAGTTCATGGAGCACGGCGAGTATCGCGGCAACCTGTACGGCACCAACATCGACTCCGTGAAGGGCCTCGTCAACGCGGGACACGTCTGCGTCATGAATCCACATCCAGGTTAGGATTTGGGTTTGCATTTGAAAATAGGAAAATTATTTGGAATATGTTTATAAGTTCAAGTAAGTAACAAGCCGTTATGGTTTTAAGTCAGTAAAGAACTCTATGCAATGGTTACATCGAAAGTTATACAACAACTTGTTGACAGTGCCCAGTGCCTAAACAAAAGAAATCCAGGAATGAGAGAAGAATCCAGAAAAGAAGCCCAGTTATGAACTATTGCATATAGCTCAGTAGTCCCTTCATCATCAACTGAACATCCTTTGAACATTCCTGGCATGTTGATTCACGTCGTGGTGAAACATCATGTTCTATACGTTTAAAGGAATAATAGGTCCATTGATTATGCAATGTTGACGAATGTTAGAGTAACTGGCACATTGTGTAGTTAATAAGTACATAACCTTACATCCAAACGCGTATTAGTTTGTCCAATGTCACTGCTGGTTACTAAGAAATGTCTAATTGAAATCTGCAGTCCAAAAATCAGTTGTTTACAGTTTCAAACCGCTGCCGGTGAAGTTGGTGTGATACAGATTTATAGTGCACTGGACATTTTCGCACGCATGCTCGGCCGTACGCAATGCTATCAGTGATTTCGTAAACATGGACGCTCGTGATAAGGAACTTTTTGTCAGGGCTGTCCACGTGCGTCCGTGATTAGTACGTGTGTTTTACTCTATTTCCATGTTTAGTCCATGGCCGTGGCTACACCGCTGGCACCTCCGTTTCATCTGGCGTCCAAAATATACGGGCCGCATAAATGTTTACGTCATCGCTTGACTCCTGGATGACATTTACGGCACGTAAATGATACGTTGATACATATCAACAACCGATTTCAAGTCTTGTTTGTAATATAACCAGCAGTGATATTGGACAAACTAATACGCGTTTGGCTATAACAGTGTATACGGTAATGTACTTATTAACTACACAAGGTGCCAGTTACTCTAGCATTCGTCAACATTGCATAATCAATGGACCTATTATTCCTATAATGGTTTGCAATCCATATCTTACTTTGTCTGAATTTACACTTTTTTAGGCTGGGTTAGATGGTACGATAACGTTCAAGCTAGTGCCAGCTGAAGCTGATGGAAAAGATCTGTCTGAGAGCAAGGTGAGCTTTTTACAGCATCCCAGGTGTCTAGTGCACTGCCATGGTAGTTACGTGGCATGTGGCAATAATCCAGACCAGATGTTTTGCCCGTAGAGAACTTAAAATTGTTTGGTCTTACTTGCCGCACTGAGGAATGACCTTGGGCAAAGGTATCAGCTTCTTGGGCTGGATTACAGTGCAAATATTCCATGCCCAATGTTAGGAGTCCGAGTGAGATCTGCGTGCTTCAGCAACAGAAAAAGCTGTTGATCCCCATTCTCAAATTGTAATGCAAGCCGTGTAACCCGTATAGGGAGGTGAGTAATATCACGTAGAGTTGTGCCATGTCCTTGAAGAAATGTCTAACATTCCATCCCATTGCGGAAGAAGGGTGTACAACTTATGCAGAGTCAAGCCCTGAGTTACAGTGTATCTTGTTCTAGGGCAATCAGTTTACGTCCAAGTTTCTCTGTGATTTCCAGCTATATGTATGGTGGGTGTGGGGGTGGGGGGATTTCTGCACTGCAAATCTATTGCCCACTATTGTACTAATTTTAATATATTCATTTCGTTATTTTATGTATTTTTAGTGTTTTATATCTCTGTACACTGTGTTGGTCACAGGGTATTATTATTGTTATTTGCATATAGTTCTTAGCATGTTTTATCCCTCAGTTGTACCAGGCTAGCTTTACTGTAATTCCTTCATAATGGTTAGTGCATTCCTATCTCACAGTATCCCCTGCATTCCCACAGGCTATTCATACTGTCATTTCCCCACAATGTTTCCACATGCTCTCACCTCACTGTGTTTTCACACGCTCTCACCTCGCTTGTGTTTCCACACGCTCTCACCTCGCTGTGTTTCCACGCGTTCTCACCTCGCTGTGTTTCCACACGCTCTCACCTCGCTTGTGTTTCCACACGTTCTCACCTCGCCGTGTTTCCACACGCTCTCACCTCGCTGTGTTTCCA